TATATGTTATCAAAAACCAGTGCACACTATGCATGCAAAGACAAAAATAATCTATTATAATTTATATACACCAATATATGGGATGATATTTGATTCCAGGGCCAGGTAATGACCGACCAAGGATTCCAGCCAACGACAACCTCATTCGAAGAACAAAGAATTAAAATTATACATTGAAGAAGTAAATACCTAAAAATTAAACAATACTAAAAAAGCAAAAGCAAATCCCTAAACTTACCGGAACTTAGATCTCAAACCACATAATAGCAACATCCACTTATGTCGGTGGCTACATGTAACCGGATATTCAGATATTCCCAGGGCGAACATCACACTAACGAAGCCTCAGCCCGGCCCCCGTCGCAAAGCCTAGAGGCGAGAAGTTATTGCAGCAGTAGATCAACAATTTGTTCTATCACATCTAGATCGCAAAATATTACAACTTTTATATAAAAAAAATGAACCTTAAAAGTAATTAACATAATAAATATAAATAGCACCCAACACCTAAAATTCTATAGGTACTTTATTTGTAGAAAATGCATGTACAACTGAAACAATAAAGGGTAATAGTAAAATACCTTTAACCTGAGGAACTTTAAGAAAATGACTCAAATGCTCCAGCGGCCATGTGGCGGCCACATGATTGATAAACGATGAGTGTTCTTCCATTCAAACAAACCAAATATTAGCATCAGTGCAACACCCCGCTAACTTAATAAAATCAGAGAAAAATTTTCGCAAAATGTTACTTGAAAAATACTTATTAGTTTGCGAAATCGTGATCCAGGATGCTATTGAGAAACTTTTCTTTTCTGAAAATCCGTTATCTTTTCTATGTTAAACTTATTAGCAAAAATGGATTATATCTAATCAAACCGGCATGTAAAACTGTATAAAATCCGACTAACAAATCGGATCAAAATCTGAAAATCAACATGCGAGTTCGTAAACCTGAAAATGTCAGCGGAAGTAAAACGTGGCAAAATAAATATTTACAGGTCCAAAAGTCCGTAAACAGACGTATAAACAAACCCACGACCACCAGTACAACTCACTCCTCAGGACCGACCCTGTGACCTGAAAAGGACAATATAGTGGGGGCGTGAGCACTAAAAGCCACTATGCTCCGCAGAAACTCATGCTGAAGTAAAATAGTAATAATAATTGCAATATCATGATCAACAATATATATAATCTGTGTCAATGTCCATGTCTGGCTGATCAACAGTACAAACTGATACTGGATCAGGTATCTGCCGGCTACAATAAGCTCCGCCGGAACCATGTGCATAATGCCACTAGAACTCAGAATTGATTTACGGCACCTGAACCGACCACCATTCTAAGCGGAACTGGATATACATACCTTGAACATGATAGCTATAATTATACTCAATGTAATACTCAGTCTGAGTTCCCACCTGAACTGCTGGTGTGAAAATGTAAGTGCTGCTGCTGATCAAACTATAAAAATATATAAATAAACAAACACTAAGTACTATGCTCAGACTGACTGAAAATAGCTGATAAGATGCTCGACTCGAACTAAATGATTAACTAGAATAATCTCGGGTCCTAACTTAACTGATAAATCTGAACTGAACTGGAAATTACTGCTATACTGGACTGACTGGATTGAAAACTTAACTGAATCACTGAACTGAACTCGGACCAAGTTACTGAGTCCTGAACTGCTCAAGTAACTGGTCTGAACCGGCCAGTTCACTGGCTGACCGGACCGTCGACTCGCTGTGGCCGGGCGGTCGGCCGCTGGCTGGGCCACCGACACGGTCGCACGCACGCACTGGGCGCAGCCTGG